TCTCGCTTTCCAAATGAAACACACTTGTTCTAGGCTGCTTTGAGTGCTTAGGGTGTCAGTTCTGTTCTTTTATAATTTGAAGCTTAATTAGTATTTGAGTAAGCTTGTTCCTGTTCTGAGAACTAGGCTTGCTAGGTGGGGAGGGGCAATGTTCAGCCCAGAAATAAATGGAAAATAAATGAAGCTTTAAAAAAAATAGCCCCAAAGTGAAATGCTGCTTAATTGCTCTGAAATCCATCTGGTGCTCTGGGTGGTAAAGATAGAATAGAATGTGTCATGCCATGACATCCCACTTACGGATTATATAGATTTTAGTAAAACTTGCCTGTATGATATTACAGTTGGGATATCCTGATGATTCATGAAGTACCGTGGTTATTTCAGAAACAGAGAGCTTAAAATAAAGCCACCCAGACCCCTTCTGCGCTCAGTTCTCCCACAGCAGCCTGACAGCAGAAGATATTTTGCACTGGAATTGAGTCGCAAAGCAACCATGATTTTAACTTGAGAGGCACTGTGTTGCTTCAGCGACCAAGGGCAGATGTTCGTACTTTGATGCTAGGTGTCTGAAATACTTGTTAATATTATATTAATACCTGTTAACTGTGTACTGCTTCTACAGTCTGGTTTTATTGTGTTAATTTTCACACCGGGCCAGGTATAAAGCGTGGCTGCAGTAGGAGCATATCCTAAATAGGGTTCTTGGACGGCAGCTAGTGGTGCCTTGAGGAGCGGTCTGCAACATCTTACTTGTCATCTTTGATATGGCTGCATGGTGCGTTAGAAATTGCCGGCTTTGGCAGCAAACTGGTGAGCACAAATAATCTGAGTCTCGCAGTCCTGCAGTAGCTGGAGGTGATAGTGCAGCTGCTCCCTGGTCAAGCTCCTCCAGGAAGGAGCGGAGAGCAGAGGTGGTGTATTTGTAGGCTGAGGTAGTTAAATGGCATATATGCTGAGTGATCGCAGGTGACGTCGTCCATGGGTGGTAGTGGTGGTGGTGCAGGGAGGAGGTTTCTGAGCATGACACAGCTGTAGGTTCAGGTGCGTTTCTAAGAGACCGGCAAGTTCAGCAGCTCGTATAAAGCTGTAGAAGCAGACAATAGATATCTCACATAGCAACTAAGAGCAAACATACGTTTTGTGTGTGAAAGCTGTGTTTGTAGATAAATGGCGTAAGTGGCTGTGCTGGGTTCGACTGAAGGTGCATCTGTCCAAGCATCTGTCCTGTGAAGCATCTGCAGCCCTGAGAAGAAGGTCAGACGTTTTCCACCTTTAGGAGGCTCCAGACCCTGCGGAAGTTGCTTGCCTACCCTTGAGCAAGCTCGATCTCTGAGCCTTGAGCTTGTTCCCTCTTGCTGCTGAAGCAGCCATGAAGAAGATGGAATGGCCTTAAGTTTTTTGATGTCGAGGCCGGACCGAGCAGGCTGCCTCGAAGCTTCATGATGTTAACGTGGCCAAGGTCAACATGTTGATTAGGCCCAGCAGTAAGAGAGAAGGGTTTCTTTTTTTGTCTTTTTCCAGATCTGCTTCATCGAGCACAACATCAATGAGATTAGAAACATCTAAACCTCCTCAGCCAGGAGCTGCATGGCTGTGATAATTAAGCTTGTTAATTGGCCAGAAAACATGGCCCAGAAGGGAACAGGGCAAGCGTGTGGTGACACACTCCTGTGTATACTCCAGCCTGGGAGATCTGCAGCTTGGGGACAGTCTGAGTAGGTTTTTGGCTGCTGTTTCCAGGTGTCTCTCTTCTAATCTCATCCTGTCTCTTCTTGGATGCGTATTAACTTGTAGTACCTGCAGTGCTGTGTGCCGAGGTGTCCCACGGCTCAGCTCCTGGGGTTGCGTGTGAAGGGCTTCTCCTGGGGGTTTTTGAACCTGCCTCCTGCTCGTTTTGCCCGGTGTCTCTAGTCCTTGAGCTGGAAGGATGCAGCCAGCAAACGATCATCATTCATTAGCTTCTTGTCACCTACAGTTTCACCGAGCTCCAGCACATCACGTGTTGCTCTGTTCCTGTGCCAGCTCTTCTGGAATAGATATTTTAAGATTTCTCCGCAGTGGAGCGGATGGAGGAGGGAGCTGGTATGCAGTGGTGGGACAGTCATGGTTCTTGAGTGGTTTATTTTATTATTGATATCACCGTAGAGCCTAGAAAGGGAGCAGGACTGTTGGGTATACAAATTAAACTAGGTGGCAGGTGGAGTTGCCAAGGTGAACAAGGAAGCAGTGAAAATTGGTGGGTAGGAAGCTAGAAGTAGCGGAATGAAAGACCGCTTGCAGGCCTTCAAAAGCCTTCAGAGTCGACTTTGGATCCTCGTGAAGACAAATCAAATGATTAACCTCATGGAAGTTCCTGTGACTCTTATTGCTGAAAGTCAGGTTACTTTGATTCTTACATGTGCAGAGGGAATGACGAGAAATCAAGTGTGGCTTTCTTAGTTCTTTTGCTCTGCTTCTGATCGCTTCTCTGCATCCTTTCAGTAGTCCACTTTGTTTTGGCCACCATGCCGTTGTTTAAAAATAACCCTCTGTTTGAATTCTTCCTCTGACAAAGGTGGGTCGCTACGCTGAGCTTAGGGTACCTGCATTTCCCTTTTGAGAGCTGCACGTTTGCATCGGGCAGCGCTCCTTGGGGTTAGGAGAGAGGCTTGCTGTGCACTGGTCGCTACGGTGCTTCGGAAAATAGGAGGGGAAAACAAAAGAAAGCCCTATTACTCTGCCAGTTTGGCTTAATAGTTACCTGAAACAAACCCCATCTCTTCCTTTCGCAGACCTGAGCAGTTGGGGGAAAACTGTTGGACTGTGTAGGAGAAATGGTGCATGTCCCTGCTTTTTCTGGGGTGTCTTTAGAATAGCTTTAAGTGTTCATTTTGGCAAGAGTAAGAAGACACCATGAAGAGAGAGGGGTTTTCTTATGTTGTGTTCCCTTAACGTTTTAAGAGAACTTAAAATCAGAGTCCTGTGTAGCTCTCTGGGCACCTACTGGGATCACTTTAGGGCTCAGCAGTTTAAAAAAAATCAGACTGATTTGTCCCTGAGTGAAATGGAAGCAAAAATTTGAGAGTTTTTTTTAATTAATGCCCTTTTTCAAATTGCTTCCGGAGGCTGTCTGCTCACTGAGGATGTAGACTGTGCTGGCTGTGAGAATGAAAATTTTAGAGTGCAGTTAATTTATGTTAATTTTTTATAGCAAATAATGCCTGCGATTGTCTTGCCCCCATCACTGCTTTTGTAGGAACAAGGATTTTTGTTTTATTTGGCAATTCTAGTATTAGGAACAAGGATTTTTTTTTTTCTTTTCATTTGGCAATTCTAGTATTGTGAACAAGGTTTTTTATTTGTTCTTGACATTTTTCTGCAGAATTGTTTGATAAAATATGCATGTGTGTACTTTTTTTTTTAACCGCTGTGGTTTGCCCCTAACTCTCTTAACCGATCAGAAACAATACAACCTGGCTTGTCAGCCAAACAGTCCGTCACGGCAAACAAGCCTGGCACATCCATGGCACTTTGCTGTGTTGTGTCCGTGGAAGGCCTCCTCTGGATGGGAGGGGAGTGAAAAGCGAGAAAATGAAAAATTTTGTGTAAAAGAAAAAAGCTTCTGTATCATTTCCTACTGCAGCAAAACCTAACTGAAATTCCCCTTTAGCCGTGGGCTTTCCGTGGGGTCTGAGCACTGGAGGTTTCTGTCTTGTGCCTTCTGTCCTGAACGGTTTTCTGCCTGCAGTTCTTGATGCTTGCCTCTGTCAAAGCGTGCGTCAAACTCTGCTGCAGCGAGAGCCCCTGAATTTTCCAGCTTCTTCCTTTCTACGGTCGGTTGGAGAAGTGGTTGCAGTAATCTCTTCTGCAGCCTGGTCTCCTCTGCTTCCCCACGCTGCTGAGCTGTGACCTTTGTGGCCTGTGCTGTATTTAACTTCAGGGAGCTGCTTGATTGCAGACACCAGGAGCGAGGTTGCTTTCCTGGGAAAAACTCGTCTCTGCATTTTCAAACAATGGAAGTTCTCAAGATGGCTTTTCTAAGGCATAAGGCAGGTACAGCAGCTTACATATACACAGGCCTCTCAGCAGCCCAGGTCTGTGCCTCCTCCTAAAATAGGAGTTGGCGTTTATCAGTGAGGGAAGTCATCTTGTTTACATGGGAGTGCTGGAATATTATTTTCAGTCTCAAACCTGGTTTGTGGGAATTCTTGCTTCCTATTTCTTTAGGGCCAATAACATGCCTCTCGCCGTTGATTACCACGTAAATTCACAGCAGTGTGAAAAGGGTTTGTGTGCACCTAATGGTGCTTAGTTTGCTTCAAGTGAGGTTTTCTCTGCCTTCTAGGCTAAGCCTGAAGCAGGTTTTGCGTTGAAGAAGACAGCGGCGTGCCCAGGGGAGGCAGCTCCCGTGCCGGGTGCTGCAGGAGGTGCTGGTGTCCGCAGCTCCCGGTGATGCTGCCGGTGCAATTTGCATGTTTTGAGAGCTTGCTCTGCTGTCACCAAGGATGTCCTCCTGGCGTCTGGGGAGAAGGGAGGAGGATGGGTAGTGAGTAGTGACAAGTTTTCTGTAAGTGTTTTCAGTATGTGACTGGGGGTAATCGCATCAAGACTGGGGCTCTGTTCACTGGAATAACTTGAATTCCTTAACTTCGTTGTTTCTTAGCTTCTCAACCTTGTGACTGGTTCGTAGGCTCCTACAAGGACTTTGCAAAGCAGCCACATATATTTTGTTCCATGATGCACAAAATGTTGTCTTTGGGGAACCATTACTGTGTTGTATACTGGGACAGGGCTCAAAATGAAGTTGCTTGCAACTTTGGTGTTTTTGCAGTAAACGAACAGAAAGCCTGACACTCCCTTCTATTGCAAAACATTTTTGCTTTAACGCTGGGAACAATTTGCTTTCCCTGGGGGTGGCCTTGGGGAATAGCAGCTAGCCTGGGATTTTTTTGGAAAGTGAATATGATTTAACATAAGGTTTTCTTGCTTGTTTGTTTTTTAACGTTAGGTTTGTGCTGGCTGTGGGCAGCGCAGTCTTCGATGCGATGTTTAATGGTGGAATGGCCACAACTTCTACAGAGATTGAGCTGCCTGATGTGGAGCCTGCTGCCTTCCTAGCTCTGCTGAAGTAAGCTGCTTCTAATGTACAGTATAACTGGAATGAACAGATTTATTGTAGAGAAGGATATTTTCAATGAAAGCAGTGAACCATTTTGTAGAGTGGAGATCGTTAAGTTTCTAAATAAAACGCCTCTTTGTTGATCTGTTCAAGGGCGTTTAAATGCTGGTGTTAAATCCCTCTTTTCCTGGGTAAAAGTCTAGAGTAGCTACTGCACAAGAATATCTGGCTTGCTCCATGTTTTGGTTTAGCAGTAGTTAAATATATGCCCTCCTGCCGCTGATCTGCAGTATGGGCAAAACTAAACTGGACAGTTGATAACTTTGTAAATATGTAGTTATATATAGTTACACCATGCAAATGCAGCAACAGGGAGGTGTTCTGGTTAGCAACTGGAATAAGTGCACATGCTGGCCCTTGTGGTTAAGTATCAACTCACCTGTTCAGACATTGTCTCACAAATTCTCGTTCATGAATTGGTTTGATTTGATTCAAAGGCTATTTGAGAGAAGTGGGGAAAAGTAATCATCTTAAAGCTCTATAAGTTACAAATACTTGGAGGTCAATTAGGCTATGGGAAAATGAGCAAGTTATGACAGGTAAGCAAGGGTGTGAAATCAGTGTCAGCCATTCTGTATGGTATCTCCCCTTCTGCGTGTTTTACTCCTCTTTTGGAGAGCTGGTTTTGAATATACATTTACAGCATGCGTTGTAAGTCTGCATGCTGGGGGAAGGAGGAGGAAGGGGCTGTAACATCCTATTCACCGATTTCTTTAAGCTCGGCTGGTGCTGTATAACATCCAGCAGCAATGCTGAATGTGTGCTGAAAAGTCATTGTCCCGTTTCCATAGGATTTCTGTAACCTACTTCCAGGGGTTTCCAGTCCTGTGCTCTTGACATGTTCCCCGCTTGCTTCCTATTGGGAACAATGACTATATATAGCTTTGGCACACTTTTTGCTTTACCTTCAAAAAGTGCTTTGGTCTTGACTGTGCTATCTTAGAAGATTTTAAAATTGATCTTCACTAGAGTGAAAGGCCAGAAATAATAGGGAGCCCCATGCCCCCTCCCCTTTGGCTCGTTTTAAACCAGACACTAGCACATGGGGAATCCCTCTAATTGGCACATGACTATCAGCCAGGTAGATCCCTCTGGAGTGCAGAGTTAGTATCTATCTTTGAAACTTAGTGAGGCTAAAATATCGAGTGAATTAGAGGCAAAGTTGTGTTGTTTCCCAGCCAGCGCTGAGATTTCAGCACTTGTATAAACAATATGATCTTGGAAGAGAGCCATCATCTGAAAAGACTGGAGTGATGAGTTTAGGTGGATTTCAACGGAAATGTTTATATTTTGTATAGGACAAATTGTGTGTGGATTATCACAGTGCCTCTAAAGCTTGCAGTTATGCTACAGTAGCTGTGTGCTACAGTGATATCTTAGATGCTTAAATCTAGAATCAAACTGTCGCTTTTAAAATGCTCAGAGCTTAAATATGCCAAAGGAAGTTTGGGGGCTGCGTTCCAGTAGGAAGCTTACCAAGTACATGGTATAAACCTTCCTAGAGTAAAACCAATCCCTCCAAACGCTGATCTAAAATGGCAGCTGATTCTTACATATGTCTCTGGACTTGGTCCAAGCCATGACCTAATGCTGTAGGATCAGGAGCTTATCAAGGGACAAAGTGCCCATCGTGAATGTTCGGCAGAAGGTCCCTTCTGGACACTAGATTGTGATTGTGGGCTGGTGGCCTTTAATAGATCTGCTGTAATTGCACGAGAGATCCTTTTTTATTATTACTATTTTCATGGTAACCCAAAGAACATTTTTGATTGTCTGGGATTATAATCTAAATCTTCTTTTAAATTGATACTATGCTTTTTCACAGTTTGAGCCTCTCTTGTTATCCCTCTTAGTGTGCACTGTTTGGACTATTGTTAAAATAAATACTAACATAGTAATTGAAGTAAATAGAACTAGTTGTTTTTAGAGCAACTGTGTTCTTTTAATCTTGTAATAAAAAGGATTACTTAGTGAAAACAGGACTGGTGAAAGGATGTGTGCAAAATACATTCATGAGCCTGTGGCTTGATGCTGTTATTAACAGATGCTCTAGAGCAGCACAAAAGCCTGCTTTCAACAGCGGTGAGAGTGCTTCCCTTCCTCTGAATCCCCCTGTTTATGCTTCCCTGAATTGCATCCTGGCCCTCTCTAGCTAGAGGACCAGGAGCTCCGCTGCTGCTCTGCAGCAAGTCCCTCCAGGTGGGGATGCTGCCTGGCATCCCCCTAGAAGAGCCCTGCTGCTGCGTGAAGCCTCCAGGAATAGCGGCCATGTGCCGTGTTGCTGTGCCCCATTCAGAGAAATGCCGGAGAAGAAATTGCTGGAGTTTCCAAAATATCCCGTGGAATAGGAACGCTAAGCCCAGTTAACACATTTAATGTTACGCCTCTGTGCTTCGTGCCTTTCAGAGCCTGATTGGCAAATGCTCGACTGGTTAAAGGAAAAACAGTAAACAAAAACGCTGCATGGGATTAGGACTAACATCAAGTGTGTAACTGGTTTTACTGAACTCAGCCTGCCAGTTCCTGTTGTCTCTAATCAGCATGCTTGGGTATGAGGAGGCTCGGTCAGGCTTCCTACGAAGACCTTTGTTTTTCCATGTGGTATGAATGTACTTCCTTGTTTTGGCCTAACAGTGGAGGCTGATGCTTTGCTAGCAGCGTGGCGGTCCTCGTTTTTCATTGCAATTAACTCTTGCTTTATGCTGAAGTTATATTGTGTGCTGTACTTTAACATCTGAATGTTATACGTATAATGAAATTAAACAGTTCGGTATATAAAGTGAAGAGATGAGGGGAAAGTGGGGTATGGATAAAACACCTCACCTGCAGTGGATGTATATGTTTGAGTGCTTCTGGTCACTTTTGAATTAGTATATAAAATGGAGCTTCCCTTCTGAAGTAGGCAGGCAGGATTGACTCTTTGCCTTTGTTTAGTCTAATTGAACAGCCAAAAATGTTAATTTTAAGGGGTGCACTTGCCCAGAGACTGTTCTAGCCTAGCATAAGTGGGAGGCTAAACAGCTCGCTGGTTGTGGGATGCTAGGCAGTTCAAAGTGCTTCAGCAGATATCCCAGCTATTTCATTCATGAAAAGTTACACTGTAAAGAGCGTGTTTTTAAAAAAAAAAAAAAAGAGCTTCTCCTTGTAAACCACAGTCAGTGGAAAGGATGTGAAAACCCTTCCATCTCTCAAGTATAGGAAATGGGGCCAGGATGATGGGCGGAAGCACAAACATGGTTTTTATGAGTTGCAAGGGTTTTTACCCTGTTATCTTATTGGCTTCACCAGAGCAATGTTTGTTTGCATGCTTTCAGATTTCTTTATTCAGACGAAGTTCAGATTGGACCAGAGACTGTTATGACAACGCTTTACACAGCTAAAAAATATGCAGTTCCAGCCCTTGAAGCTCATTGTGTGGAGTTTCTTAAAAAAAACCTCCGAGCAGACAATGCATTCATGCTGTTAACACAGGTGAGTTTGCAGTCGTTTGCGTTAAGTCCTTTGAGCAAGGTCCATCTCAGTAGGAAAACAGAAGTTTTCTGAGCGTTGCGGAGTTGATCATCCAAAATGGAGCAGTTCTGTGTCATTTTGAATTCTTCCTTACAGGAGTCTAGCGCTGATGAGCAAGTTCTTACAAAGAACAATAAAATACAGCAAATGTTGCTGCCATTTCGGATCTGCTTTCTGTTTTGGTGTGGCAGGCGATTCCTTCCAGAGTGTGATCTGGGGAAGAAATTAACAGGGTGGAAAAATTTCATCTGCCAAGAAGAAAAGAGAAATGAGAGGATTTTCGCTTGTTCCGATTCAGGACTGGTGTAATAAGCTTTCTCTGTGCAAAGCTTGCTGCATCTAGCTGGTCAGATGTTCTTTGAAGAACTGTTTTTGCAATAGTTTCCCTGAAACAGGGGTGAAAGACAGAAAATGCAACTTTTTCATGAGTGCTTCGGTTTATTTTCCTAGGAGAGGAGCAAAGTGATCTCTTCCTCAGCCTGTTCCAGCTCACCCTCCCGCTGTACTGAAGGCACGCAAACCTGGAGTTTCAGTGCAGCTGTGTTTCTTGACTCTTTGTGAGGCCGTTTGCGCATCCTTGTGCCCCTCTGATCCGATCTGTGAAGGTTGGACTCCTCCATCTTCCATTTGACTCTTCTAAGCAGCGAACTAGAAGACAGTGTTTACAACTTCTGCTTATTTTGGAGAAGATCAGACTTTGCATGCAGGTTGATTAAATTAGCATCACTATCCTTCCCATTTCCTAGCCCCATCTTCTCTTTCTGGTCCCTGCCACCCTCTCTGCTGACAGCTGATGACATCAGTGACTTCTGCAGTGCTGTCACCTGTGCGTTGCAGTGTCTGTAGCATTGCCAGGGACACCCTGTTCTGGGTGGCGTAGGAACAAGAAACAAATAGGCATTGTGTGTGCGAGTTTCTTTCCTTTAGGGAATGGCCATACTTTTGGCTAGCTCTGGAGGAATATTTCTGAGCAGCCAGCTCAGGGAAGCTGCCGTGATTTCTGACGTTAAACAAACCTTGCAGAGGAGTTTTCACAGCTGCCCTGACTTGGGAACCAGTGCACTAAGGTGGTCTGGCTCTGAGGGGTTGTCTTGTCTTGCCCAACGTATCTGTCTGCTGGCTTTTTTTCCTCCTTGTCAGGAGTACAAGCGTCTTTCAGGCTCTGACTGTAGTTATTGCATTAGTGGCAGTGTCTACACCAGCGGTTTTTGCAGAAATTGAAGCAGTGTTGCTCTAAAGCAGTGTTGGCCTGAGGCAGTCACTGCTGAGCTCTTTGCTTCTTTGCTGCGATGAGGCAGGGATTTTATTTGAGTTTAAATATTTGGATCAAGTTCTCAAAGTAGTTCCATGTTACATTGCTGTTGTAGACACTCTTCACTGCTAGGATTCAGCTATTGCTGCAAAATACCATGTCCCTCTTTCCACATCCTCTTGTTAACTTGGCCCTCTTCCACATGCCATAAACGGGCAAGGCAGCCTCTGAGACATGGGGGGAACCACACTGCACTCCCCTGGGGAAGATTCAGGACTTAAAGATTCTTGCTTGGGTGATGGTAGCCAAATCTGCGCTCCCATCTGATGCGTGGTAGGACAATTGTAACTCTTTGGCAGCAGCTCTCCCATTCTTGCAATCTGAAAGATCAGGAGCTGTTATCCAAGAGCTGGGAAGAGATCTTTCCTGTAGGCTGCAGTTTTGAAGAGGCATCTTACGCTAGCCATCACTTCATGAGGATTAGAGGTGTCAGCTTTTTGGTGGTATTCTTTACGCAGGGATTTTTGCGGCATGCTAAGTCTTTGCAACCTGACTTCGCAGCTTTGGCAAGGTAACATTCAGGTTCATGGTGACTTCCTTACAAGCCGCAAAGGTCCTTCTTTGGCAAAAGAGGAAGGTGTCCTAGTTTTTCAAATATCAAAACCAAGATACTGCCTGGCAGATACTACTCTGTCAGCTGTACTGGGGCAGCTGAAATGCCAGATGGAGACAGGCTTTCCTGGTTCCTTTTGTTTGTGGCTTATCCATTATGAGTAATTATCAGTGGTGATTCATATCTAGTTTATGTTCACTATTGGAGTATATCAAGTCTCTAAAATGTTTGAGGCTGGTGTTCTTTGAGAAACGTATCTGTATCTCAGTGACTGGCTACGTGAGGCACCTGACTTAATGGATCTGTTCTCAAAGTGCTCTTGGTTCTGGTCCTTCAGTGTGAAAATCGGCCTCTGTTTTCTGCTTTTACTGCAACAAATTGACAATTTGTACAGTCAATTACAGACCTGAGATACATCTTGTACAAAACATTTCCCAACAGGCTTAAGATGGTGAACCTAAGATTGTAGAGCCCCAAACCTCCTCTGCGTGTATCATTGCTGACTCCTGCTGGTCCAGCAACTATGTCACTGACAGCGTTTCAAGCAACTGCTAATCTCTGGTGGCAAATAGCTCTCCTAATTGATTGTGCCTCATAGTGAACAGTGATCCTCTTTCATGCCAGACGTACATGCATATGTCACTTTGATCAACAAGGAAATAATAGCTTACCTAAAGCCGCTGTGGGGGAGAACTCTGCAAGTGTAATGTAAGTCCTTCACGTGTCAAAAGAGAGCCGCTACAGTAGTAAAGTCTGAGTCAGTCACAGCTCTTGGATGCCAAGAGCGCAAGGCACTGGCAATCCTCCAGCCCAAGGAGCAGGTGACGACTGCTGAAGCTTCCCTGGTCCCTGAGAAAATGGAGAGTTGTTTCAGCTCTCTGCACTTGAGGTCTCAGTGTTGAAGGTTGGCCTTGCTGAGCTCTACGGCCCATGAGCAAGGGTGAAGCAGAAGATGCTCGATAATGCTAGCCTCTGTGAGTGACTGAATTCCCAGCCCAAAACACAATTTCTAAACCTTACCTGTGGCAGTGAGTTCAAGTCCCAGTGTACTCTTGCGCTAATGTTAGGTGTGATGTTAAGGCAGTTCCTTCCTAAATAGCAAAACCAAAGCATTGGAAATAAGAGGTCATCTTAGTGACTTTTGTGTGTTCCTACCTCATTTCTGCTTATGCTAGGCACAGGGTTGGTAAGACGTCTTGTGGTCTAGGGGGATCTGAAGCGGTAGTGAAATTGTTACGAGACTGCACTTAAGTTGGGCAGAGAGATTCTGAGCAACTCTCCAAGCTGTGTGCAGGCTTTGTTTGGAATAGTAACCTACTTCGGGGGGAATTCTTTAAGGTAACTAGATGAGAGTAGCTGTTTCTGGGCAAAACATGCAAATGCACTAAGCAGGCTGCGTACCCCGCAGGGTTTTGCACGTCTCCCTGGGACACAAGCAGTGTGCCTGCTAAGGCATTTTTGCTAATACGTGAGATCAGTGTGACTATGTTCTTACAGAATAAGCTGTCTCTGCATATTCCTAGAGCAAGCAGGCCAGGAGTCATTGGGCAAAGCTTTCTTCTAAATATAAAGATGATGTAGTAAAAATTACCCACGCTCAGCTGACATGGTCAGTATGGCGCTAGAAAGCACTACAGCCGTGTTAACTGATGTGATGTTAAAACAAAGACGTGCCTGAAGACATGCACAGCTAAAACAGAACTGATGCCAAATGCAGATTTTTCTAGTGTTTGCCTTGTCATGCTTAACTGCTTGTGAAAGACTGCTGCAGCCCACTGAATTCATGATGCAGTCAGGCATAGTATTGTTAATGAAGATGGGCTCTGGGAGAGAAGGGGGGGTCCTTACTTAGTGTAAACTTTAAAATATCTTTTGTGTTAACGACTGCGTCTTCATTACTAGGCAAGACTTTTTGATGAGCCTCAGCTGGCCAGCCTTTGCCTGGAGAACATAGACAAGAACACATCAGATGCCATCAATGCGGAGGGGTTTACAGACATTGATCTGGGTAAGCTTTTTTCCCTCCTCCCTCTACATGCTTTCATAACAAGCTAGCCTCTAAAGTTATTACAGGTTAATACTTGGCACTTCTCTTTTGTGGCTCTGCTGTTCTGGAGCAATCTGTTGAATAAGTAGCTAGAGACAAGGCATTTGCAAAAGAGCATGCTTGCTTGCAGAAATATCCTGGAATCTGCTTACTTTGGTGCAGCTTGGGTTTTCTGGGCATGATACAAAGCCTGTTTCCTCTGTTGATGTTGGCAGGTTTTGGGTGGGTGTAACTTGCCTTCTTTTGTAGAGTTGGCATTGTTCCCTAGGTCTTCGTCAGGCTTGGGAGTTAAAGGTGTTGTGTTTTTGGAAGCAAGAACAGCTATTTTAATTATCGTATGCAGTTTCCAAACTCGCTGGGCACAGTTAATAAACATTAAAATTCAGACTTTAACCTCCTTCTAATGAGATGGACTATAGAGGTAAGGCATGGGTAACCTTCTGGCTTTCATGCTGCTTGCTTCATCCAAATTTGATGTCAAGTAAGTTGGAATTCATTCTGCTGCACTTCCATTAACGTGCCAATTAATTGGGCACTGTTTGCTGCTCCAGTGAGTTACTTGCTTATGGAATATGCAGATATATCTTCCTCAGAGGCTGTGGGCAGCACTTTTGGGAGATGCTGTTTTTTCAGTTGCTTCTCTTCTACTTACCTTGGCTGTACATACGGTACTTCTGGCTAGGTAAAATTGGGTGATTTGGGTTAGTGCCTAAAGTTGTCACTATCTGTCCTGCCTTGCAGACACCCTGGTTGCGGTGCTGGAGAGGGATACCCTGGGGATCCGGGAGGTTCGTTTGTTTAATGCAGTGGTTCGCTGGTCGGAGGCTGAGTGTCAACGGCAGCAACTTCAGGTGATTCCAGAGAACAAGCGGAAAGTACTGGGCAAAGCGCTTTCTCTTATCCGCTTCCCATTGATGACTATTGAGGAGTTTGCAGCAGGTAACTGAACAAAGGCGTTTCTGGCAACCCTGGTCTTTGCTTTCTCTGAACTACAGAGGATCAAGTACATGAAAATGGATTTTCTCTGTGTATCCTGTAGTAATTTAAACTTGAGATTATCCCCCATTTGCACTGATCTACAAAATCTACTGTGTAAATGCTGTTTTCATCCATGATCATTCACTCTTGTTTTAAAGAGTGGTCACACATGGTGTTCCCCAGGGCTCGGTACCGGGGCCAGGTCTGTTTAATATCTTTATCAATGATCTGGACGAGGGGATCAAGTGCACCCTCAGTCAGTTTGCGGATGACACCAAGTTGGGTGGCAGTGTTGATCTGCTCGAGGGTAGGAAGGCTCTGCAGAGGGACCTGGACAGGCTGGATCGATGGGCCGAGGCCAACTGTATGAGATTCAACAAGGCCAAGTGCCGGGTCCTGCACTTCGGCCACAACAACCCCATGCAGCGCTACAGGCTTGGGGAAGAGTGGCTGGAAAGCTGCCTG